GCCACGATGGCTTGTTAAGAGACGCCAACTTTCTCAGACGAAGTGGCCCAGGATTTCTGGAATTCTAAAAGACATCAACACTGTCCCTGAGGATGGTTTTCCTGTTGAGTCAGCTCTTGAAGCATCGGCAAGCTGCCCACCAGCCTACGCCGACACCTGTCTTTTCGATTGCCATTCTCCACGAATGGCCCTTATCCCTGTTACACACACAAATGTCCAACTTAATACTCCAGTTGAACATTCGCCGACTCCCACAACTCCGTCGAAAAATTTAAAATCTTCGCATTTTTCGAATGCTGACACGCCTTTCAGACCACTAGCCAAGAAGCAAAGATTATTATCACCTGCTTGCTCTAATAGCACTCTTCTCATTCCAGAAGATGAACAGGATGAGAACATTAATCATTTAAACTCCGCTCCCCTTGATGTCCTCTCACGAAGGCTGCAAGGTAAATCGGCCCGAGCTCAAGCGTCTACCTTTGAACTTATCAGGCATCATTCAACCCCTATGCCACCAACAAGATCACAATTGGAATACTTAGGAAGCATTAGTCGGATGCGTATTGCGGAAGAATGCAAGACAAAGCCTACCTCTCCAGCCCCTCATTCGAGTCCCATCTCATCTCTACATCAGTTGCCTCAATCCCACAGAGGTGGTTCTGCATCAGATTTGGTTGGCAGTGCACCAATACCGAATACTCTCGACACTGATAAGGTAACTTTTATGAGTAATTGACTTAGAATTCTCCCCATATGTTTTCCCGGGCTATACATCGGATCTGGTTTAAATATATAGTTTCGGACAATATCTTTATCATGCTTTATTGGGCTCACTTGCTGCTAGCAGATTATCCTGTTTACTAATTTTCATATAAATTATATTAAATTCGATCTGAATAACAGCAGTCTAGTCCTTACGGCTTTGTCGGCCCCCTCATTCTTCCATTTAACATCCCTTCGTTTTTTATATGCTTGTGCTCGCTCATCAGCATTTCTCATTATTTACTTCA